TAATAAAACAATGGGATGCGAATGTTTGGGCTTAAGTTATAAGAAAAATAATGGGTTGTGGCTTATTTAAAATATTCTCTTACTAAATTTTTTGTTGAGCTACATCAAGAGATCAGATTGGGCTTCAAAAAATTATGGACATTGTATATAAAGAAGTGTTTACTTATATTTGAATTTTCTTCTTAAATTTTTTTTTTTCAATGATTATGTTAGTAGTTTTTACTATTGTTTATATTTTTTATCATATAGTTTTTCGTGCAAATGCACGGGTAACAACTAGTTCTACTAGTTATCATCATGTGCACATGCACAGATGTAATTAAAATATTATAAGTAATATGTGTGAATTTAATATTAAAATATACATGATAAACATATCACATTTTCAAGATATGTGAATTTAATATTAAAATTCTAGATAATAAACATATCACGTTTTCAAGATATGTGAATTTAATATTAAAATTCTATATAATGGACATACCACATTTTTAAGATTTAATCATTAAAATAAAATAATATTTATATAAATTATTTGAGTACATATGAATCACTATATTGATTAAAAAAATTGTGCATAATGTAATTTTTATAATTTGGAGGGATCATGGTCAAATAATTTTCTTGAAAACTTTATTATTATTATTATTATTATTGTTATTATTATTATTATAATTATTATTACTATTCTTATTACAATGACAATTGTTTATAAGATTTTAAAGTTTTTTTACTATACTATTAAAACTATTTACTAATTGTTTTTAAAGAAAATTGTTTCATGAAATACAAAATTAAAATAATAATAATAATAATAATAATAATAATAATAATAATAATAATAATAATAATAATATCATTCATAAAACTTAATTAAGTGTAATTATGTATTTATAAAACCTCATTCATTTTCCCTCTAAAAGAAGTTACAAAATATGTCATTCATAATTTACCTTTCACATTAATACACCCTTTTAAGTGTAATCATGTATTTTTTTGCTATTATATTATATAATAGTTAATGCTATTAGCAACTCATAATATTTCACACTAAATATAAATTACATAAGTATAAATAATTTTATTGTTTCAAGATATTATTATTGTAATTGTTATTATTATTATTATTATTATATTATTATTATTATTATTATTATTATTATTATTATTATTAATATTATTATTATTATTATTATTATTATTATTATTATTATTATTATTATAGTAGTTAATGTTATTTGTTTGCTATTATATTTATAATAGTTAATATTAATTTTTTTACATGATTACACTTAATAGGGTGTATTAATGTGAAAGGCAAAATATGAATAACAAAGTTTGTAACTTCTTTTGGAGGGAAAATAAATGAGGTTTTATTAATTAGGTTTTATTTATGAGGTTTTATTTAATGATTAGCTAGCAATTATATATATATATATGCTACATAGAAGTTTATCTTTAGTTAATGAATGTACGTATATTTGGTAAGCACCATAAGTTAGTTTTGTAACTTATTTAGTTTGTTTAAATTTTATTGTATGCAAATAAATTTGACTAGTACAGAGTCCGTGCGATGCACGGGGTGCACAATTTTAAGGTCATTTATTCATTCTTATAATTATATAAATGAATAAAAAAAATGTACGGGATATATATAGTACGTGACCTGTAATAGGC